GGTGTCAAGTACAGTTATTTCAATACACAATACACTATTTACTTCAGTACTACACTCAGGTAGCATTACTATCGAGTCACTGAGTCAGTGCACATGCATACTGTAGCTGAGATGCACGTCGTCAGGCTGAGGCCTCAATGCTGCCAGTACTATGCCTCGTATGTAACTTACCAATCTTGTGCCGTAGGCAGCAGGGTACTTGCCATCGGCGCAATTCCACACACAGCGGGGGGATGCCTGACAGTGCCATTGGCCCGAGATCTTGAAAGGATCGTGCCGTGCAGAGACCACACTACATATCTGGAATTAGTCCCTATTCACAAACGGTAATTATTGACATGAGAGGTAATAGCTCCTATTTACTGATGGTGGTAAGATTTGGATCGGTGGACCTTCCATTTAAGGAGGGTGCTCCCGTTACAGTTAAGGTAATTTGGGCTATAAGGGGTATACCCCCTGTTCAACGCTGGCAATTTTCGATCACCAGAGAGCCCTATACAACGACTGAACAGTAAACCGATTCTAGGGGAATCGGAAAGACGTCGAAGCGACGCGCCACATACGCGCGTAAGGGCGCTTCCCGAGCTTTAGCTGACCTACTTGCTTGCTCCTGGTCTTTATTCCTTACTTGGCTGTACTATACTGTAGCTGTACATGTACTATAGTGTAAAGAAATTTTATTCCGAATTTTCTACCCTACCGTACCCTCATGAGGAGGCTGCATCTGCCCGCCTCGACTTGCAGCGGTGGCGGGAGTTGCTTATGTAATCCGATTAAGACCGTAAACTTTCCTATGATCGGATTCACTTCCGCGACCGCCACTACAACATCGTCGCGAGACCGCCCTCCCGACCAATCACCAGCGGTTACGCAAGCGGGACCCCATGACCGCCGATGACCAAGTGAAGATAAGATGGATGATTGCTCGATATCTGGCTGCAAGGAGCGCGAATATCATGGCATTGCAGTAAATACTACCTGTATTCGAGGTTATGTACACTCCAGTTATATATAGCACCCAACTACGAGGCCCTGCATTATATTCTAGAATTACTGGGCACATCTGTCTAATTTTCGGGTCGCTGCACGTTGTTATCGCAGTCGCTGCGAGATCAGCTTTTCGTCCGATCATACGGGATTATAAAAGCAGGACCCCATGACCGCCGATGAGTGGCGGTCGGGGAGGACCCCCGATAATCAGTATAAATGCCTGATCCCGAGGACCCATAAGTAGACCCATTTTGTCCGGAAGAAAATCGCCAATTTTGGACCTTTTGTCCGGAAAAAAACAGGCATCACAGCGAAAAGTGGCTCCAAAAAGGCAACTGTGGCGTGGGTACGTCTAAATTTAGCTTCCCCGGCAGGTGCCGGGGTAAATATGGCGTCAAAATGGCCAAGTCTGACCAAAATGTCCGGAAAAAAATCAGGCCTGTTCTCCAGAATCGGCCGATTTGTCTGTAATGAAATCAGCCATTGAGGGCTCTAAAGTCCCCAAATTTGTCCGGAACCTGATCAGGCATTTATACCAATTATCGGGGGTCCTGGTCGGGGAAGTTGATTTCACGGAATCCTCCAGCTGATGCCCCCTGGTAGGCTACTACAGTCGACTCTGTCCTAACCCATAACGGGTCGTGGAACCCAAAAGTTATGGGTTTTTGCAGACTATGGGTTACCAGAGCGTGTGACACCGTGTGACTACCTAGTAAGCGTGACAGACAGCCTATTCGGTATAGGCCGGACGTCGTTTATGACAACGTTTAGATACGGAATCTTGAGTCTGGTAAGGGTTATCTTCTGAAATACCACGAGAACCGAAAATTAAGGGTCGAGATAGTCCAGGTTCTCGTGGGAAGGAGACCTGCACCTTCCTAATATAGGTTGTTTTATGGGTTATGACCCTCCAAAAAGTTATGGGTTATGGGATACGGCAGACTTATGGGTTTTTACTATCTACCATGTTGGTGGAAGCCAAAAACCTATGGGTTATTACAGGTTATGGGTTATGACAGGTATGGGTTAAGTCGACTGTAGGAGCGTCGCGCAAACTTGTGACGAAATGACGTCACGTGTTCAAGGACATGTCACAATCATGGCCAGTGAGTGAGCACGGGTTCATGAGTCTGACTTTAGTGTGTTTCATCGTTCGTTACTTACAGTCGCCTATAGCTAGCTACCCTCGGCTACCAGACAAGACGTGCATTGGACTCAGCCAAACTGTCCCAAATCAGCGGCTATTATGACGCTTGAAAAGCTGTTAGCATCCCGATCGCGGATAGAGGCGCAACTTCACTGTCTTCACACTTGAGGGTGACGAGGTCGACCTCAACCAGATCTCAACTGGGCAATGCAGTGGGCCCGCGACTTCTCCTACGGTAAGCCTCCTTGTCTTTCTCCCCCAGTCCTTATGTTCAACCTAGACCTACCTACATATTTTCCAAGTGCCCCCATGCCTTCGATGCAGAAATTGTACAAGTCCTTCCAGCGGAAGGTCAAGCCGATGAAGCTCGATGCTATGCTATCTTCGTCGCCACCTGGATCTCCCGCCCCGGAGACTCATAGAGGTATGCCAGCAATCGGCGAAACGATAGAGAACTTTCAGAATTCTTCGCGCAGGCAGCCGAGCCCGGAAAGGTAATTATACCCCACTCGGGGCCACAGTGCACCACGACTCACCACTCTTGTTGATCAGGACACAGCATTAGCGGAGCAAAATTGGTGATACCCTACTCCCAATAAGTAAGCCGCGGAGCGGCTGCTGAGTGCAGAAAATACCAAGCTTCTCTATCGTTTCGCCAATTGCTGGCAGATCTATCATTGGCCGCCTGATTATGCTTCTTTATCATCCTCATCTAGTTCTCACCGCATCAGCCACGGTAGTGGACACCAATCCCACTCCCGAACCAGCAGTTCCCCCCTGCCAAGTGTCACTTGGAAGTGCGCATACCTCTGGCAGCTGCGACTCGACCCCTCTGCGCTTAGCTGCCTCAGATAACATACTTGTCTCCCTCACTCGGCCCCATCCAACTGAAGAAGTCACTGCGCGGCAGACCTAGATAGTCACGTTGCAACCAGCGCTGACTAGGGCTGACCTTGCGACATAATTCAGATGTAGACGGACGCCTCGGCTACCTCAGGTAGTCGCTTTAGGATTAGGGTTGATCACGTGAGCTACTCGCGTACGCGTCAAGCTCATTTAGCTTCAAGCACGACTAGCTCTGCCTACATCTGCCTAGGACTGATCAACTGCGGTAGCCGCTTCGGATAACTTGCTTGACTAGCCTGCATCGTGTATACCTCCTGTATTTACACCAATCCAATACATAACTTGTCGTCTGAGTTCAGAAAGTGATACAAAAGTTTTCTAAGTCCCGACTTGCCCTCTCCCTCCTACCTGCACGCCGCTGCATCTCAGCACCGATGAAGACTCTGATTCTGTACACCTAATCTTCTTGCTTGCTGGATCTAGAGAGCAAACATGCGAGGCTTCAACAAAACTTCTAAGCCCGACTTGCGGCACTGTCACTGCTCCGAATGCCGCGGTAAGCTGGTTCCCCGACAGATCAAGAACAAGCATGAACGAGAGCAGGCCGCTGCAGCATCGCGTGCGGCACTTGGGGGTCGCGGTAAAGGCTTCGTCGCATCTCTCTTGTCTAAAGTCAGGGGTCGTGGTCGCGGCGGCGCAAACCCTCAGGCATCCTCGACAGCAGACGCAGTCCCCGGCGAGTCTCCATCCAGCTTGATGTCCAATGTAACGACAGCAGAGTTCTTCTCTCAAACTCGTAACTCTGGTCTACATTACAATCCACCAGCTCCCGGTGATTATATGCCTATGGATCACTCGAGGGACGCGTT